CTACAAGCCACTGCAGCTTGCAGTGGATTCTTGAGATTTGACACGCAGTATAATTTAAAGTGGAACCATGTTTCTAGCTGAAGGTATGTTTTAGGAGAAGAGTGTGAACATTTTAAAGAATTTAAACTTTGTCATTCACACCAGTAAGTTTCACTTCTTTAGTTTGTATGTTACATTTTGATATTATATGACCTTTTTCAAACAAACATTCAAAAGTAATATTAAAAATTATTAACTGTTTAATTGTAATAGCCACACTCACAACCAACCAAAGAGCAATAAATATATGACTTGTGCTCAGTGTCATCTAAATAGGATATGTATCACCTTTGTTGAAGATTGGTTGGAAATATGAATAGAAAATCAAAATTATGTCCAGGAAAAACATATAAACAACATTAGCTGCCCACCTCAAACAGATGGAAATGGAAACAAAGTCTCACTCGTGCAAGCACACTCAGGCATGCATACATGTCCTCTACCCCTTCAGTCAAAATGACCCCATGTCATCTTTTCATCCAACAGCTCTCTACCACCTCCCAAACTAATCTGCTCTAATCCAATCACACTTCAAACCACACAAACCTGATTAATATAAGGAATAGTGCTGCTGTTTTTCCATCCATTCCCACAATGTTTACATCTGATGATGGTGTCCTGTATTTATTTTGAGCAAAGGGCTTCCTGTTTATTTGAATGTGTCTGTGTGTGCTTTGGTTGTACCTCCAGTATTCTGTCTCCAGGCCGGATATCTGCGCTCTCAGCAGCTGAACCAGGGTCCACAGAATGAACAAACTGTCCACCCTTTGTCTTATTGCTGTGTAGGCTGAAGCCATAGCCATTGTCCTCCTTCACCAGATGACACAGTCTGGGACAGAGCTCATCTGTTGGCTCTGGTGAGGGCTCCACCTGCAGCTGTAAAGGGAAGTAAGACAACAACAAAGTGTACTGTGAGTTTATCAGGAGAAAGTGGCTGCCAGGATGAGCCAGTGGTCTCATAGCTGAGCAGAACGGGCTGAGTGGATTTGGCTGAGAGACATTAAGACCAAGCCTGAGTCTAACGACCAGCGACAACAGCTGACACATTGACTGACACTAATCCGGCTGACCGAACTTATGCTTCTACTTCTAGGTACATGCTGGCTGTGTGTGTGTTCTGTGCCAGGACCATACATTAGTCCCTGTCTTGTTCCATCATGGGTAAGATGACCTGAGGGCTTTCTGAGATCTCACTGTCCTTTCTGCTCTGTCAGTGAAGATTCACTTTGCATGCATGCTCTCTCTTTCTCTCTCTCTCTCTACACACACACACAAAGAGGCAAATGGAGAGAGTGCCCATCAGGTCAAAGGTCAAAGTGCTTATTTGTCATATGCACAGTTAGGAAACGTGTTTCCCTGTACAATGAAATTCTTACTTTGCCGTCCACGTGAATGCCACACAATACAAGTGAACTATAAAGTGAAATATAAAGTAGATGAGCAATAACACAAAACTAAATAGGCAGTAAAATCACAAATCTAAGGCACTTTAAAGCAGCAAGTGAAGGAAGCAAATAAAAATACAACACAATATAATGCAGAGAGAATATATGCTACGTGGGAGCCATAGGGTTGCATATAAATGATAACATGTATCTATGAGTGTATCATCGCTGCCAGCCAACAGAAGTAATGGAACAGATTTCCTTGGCGACAGATGACCATGGTGGCAGGTCAGGTCGCTGTGGTGACAGGTCATCATGTCTTGTACCGATCTATGTTTATGTTGCTGTCATGTTCACACACACACAGCTGCACAATACACTGAGGACATATCTGATCTGTAGTAATTGAGGACCTCAAGAGCTTTTTCTACAGATACTGAATTTTGTGTTTTGGTTGTGATAATTAAGTCAGTTGCTATTAAAACAATTAGTAGATTAATTGATTAGTTTATTGGCAAAAATGTATTGCCTATAATTTTGATGATCAATTAGTCTGTTTCATTTCAATTAGTAAGTAACACCCATTTGCAGGCTCCAGGTCCTTAGGTGAGGATTTGCTGTTTTTCTGTGCTTTATACAATTGTAAATCAAATATCTTTGGAGTTTGGACAGCTTGTCAGACAAAACATTTAATGTTAAGATGAGTCACTGAGCTCAGGGTGGGCTGTTTCACAGTTATTTGACACTTTTATACAGTGAATGATTGATTTATTGAGACAAAAATCTGCATGTTAATCGATTCCTCCTCTTTGTTTTCCAGTGGTATTGTCTCTTGAGGGAGTTATTTCTGTGTTATATATTCTTACAGTTAACTCATGCAAATGTCACAAATTTAACAGGAAAAAACAAAAAATTACTACTGTTATATGTGTGAGAAAATCAGTCGTATTCAGCAAGTAAAGTGTTTGTGTGTTTCTGTGAATTAGGTGTGTGACTAAGCCATCACTGTGTTTACGTAAGACCACTGTACTGTACATGGCTGCCATAGCACCATGCAACAAATGAAATCATATCTGTATTTACATGTAGACTAATGTAAGTAGAACAAGTGCAGAGATGAGAGGGAGAATGTGTGTGTGTGATGGTGTTGGCCTGGGATTAACATACCATAATGAGTTCCTATTCAGGGCTGTTCGGGACTATCCAAAAATAATCACTCTTTGAAAATGTCCACAAGTGGATGCTGTCACTTAATACGCGATCAGTGGCACCGAGTATAATTACCATGTGTCCCAAGTGAGTGTCTATTCTATCTTGGTGTATTATAGGGCCTTGTGTTGCTCCATTTCCCAGAGGTACACTGTTACACAACCAGCTGTAGAATAACATGCAATCTGTCATAACAGCAAACAACATTTTTCTGAAGTTTCTAAAGTTATTTGTGGTTGAGGCAGTCAGCTCAAATTTGGAGCCACAGTTGGTGGTGATGTAATTGACTGCACTATTGTTGTACAGGTGCTGCTCTTATTGCCCATGACGCTGTTTCACCTGAACCATTTACCAAAACTGAGAAAGACAGCCACACTCGCCAGCCCGTATTTACCCTGACTTCTGCTAAATAGGAGCCAGGTTGACATGGGCCACTGGATACTGGTCAACTTTACTTGGAGCCTTTGTGGAAATTTTGTTTTTGTTGCATCATAGTCATGGTCTCTGAAATTTAGGAACTTCTCTGAGTTCTGTGTATTTTGTGCACATTAACAAAGTGCATACCAAAGGATGTTTTTATCTATACCTGATTTCTTTTTTTAGCTGTAAGGTCAAAGTTCTGCCAGATCCCACAGTAGGAAAACGTGAGATCATGTACTCAAACCCATAATAAACTACACAAACAGAGCACAGTACCCATACAGACAACACCAAATATGAGCTGACTGCCTCAAGCACAACTTAACTTATAAGCTTCAGAAAGCTATCTTAAAGTCCTTCATGTATGCTTGGTACATTTTTTCCTTCCCAGCAGACACTCAAGGCATGTTTTGTTAGAACCCACTCACACTAAAGTCAAGCAGACTAGAGGCATGATAAAATCTGAGCTCACACTGGATGTCAGATGCTGTCCCAGTCTGCTAAAAAGATCTAAATTATGTGTTTCAGCAGAGCCCACTGTCAAAATAATAAGAACTCTGAGCATAACTTCTCTCACTTCTCACATATAAACTAAGAATGTTTTTGTGCCCCTTTTATGAAATTCCTGCTTTATCTGACTCTATTTATCCCCATATACAGAACAGAAGGAACAGTTGTAAGGCTTATTCAACTCCTGGTGAAGTGATGTTTTATGCCTGTCACAGTGTCATTTGGACTAAACAATACCCACAGTATTGTAACCTGTGGGGCTGACACTAACGTTACCCTGGCATGGTATAGTGAGGCAATGAGCACCCCAAACAGACCCAGCTGAGGTTAGTGCTCTGCAACGCCAACCGAGGCAGAATGTAGATGCTGTAATGGATGGATCTGGATCCACAACTGTAGAAGCTGAATGATGGCAGAGACTAACTTTCTAAAAAAGACAGTATTTATTAGAAACACTGCCAGAATGTTGGAGACTAACGTCAGTGTGGACCAATTAAACTGACAGCCTATCAGGGAATCCACGGGGGGAAGGGGATGATTGTGTGGTGAGGCACCTCGTTTGAAAGGGCAAAGAAAAAAGACAATGAGGATTGCCTTCAACATGAGCTGTGTTTGAGAGCAGCATTACAGGAATTCCAGAGGCTGTGAAAGTGAGTGCTGTTATTAGCCTGTGGAACTGTTTATAGATAAACTACAATGCCTGTATTTTTGTGGTGACAAATCGTCATCCAACGCAACAGTGTGGCTCACCGATGTGCTTTTAATAGTTTTTGGACAACCTAGAACCTTTATGGAACAGATGAATCATTTAGGCAGACTTCTTAGTAGGATTCATTCACTGTTGGGCTTGGACTTTTCATGGGATTTGTTGACAATACAAATATATATAGCATCACCGGCCTTATCCTGTAAATACAATATGCATTTTAAATGTTGGGAGATTACAATGGCTTGTCAACGAATGGAACAGCAGGTTTGGATTATATCTACACAGATGTCTGAAAGAGAGGATGGATGTTGTGTGATGGAAATTAGGTGAAAACAGCTGTAATTACACTATCTTTATTCACTGTTTTGACCAGTTTGGCTGTATTGAATTTTATTCTCTGCAGACTCTCTTTTTAAGTTGTATGCACTACAATGGGCTTTACAGCATGGTTCTGACAGGAATAACAGGGACTGCAGAGTTTTTGTGGGGCCGAGAGGCACAGCCAAGTGCTCAAGTTTTTGCCCAACACACACGCTCTTAGCACAGCAACACACTGACTCACAGTTAGAGTGACCAAGTAATCAATGCGTCCTGAAAATGTGTACTTTTCCCTCCCTTAAATTCTAATAAAAACTGTGCAGAAACTGCTGATATTTGAGTGTGCTTATAGTGCCAATGAGACCACAAGGAAAAGTCTTGTGTCTTGATGTCCACTCTTACCTCTATGTCAGTTGCTGAACATGATGTCAGTGATGATCTCTTGACCTTGTCTTGTATAATCATGTCAATGGACAAATCTTCAGCAGTAGAGTGAAATGAGTGTAAGTGGTCGGGTTTGACGGACAGGGGTGAAATCTTTCTGACCAAGGAAGACGTGGCAGGCATTGGCCTGGATGAGGGGCGTGAGAGGAGGGTTCCCATCTCAATGGCCATGTCCTCAGTGCACACCAGGCCCCTGCTGCGGAGGTATTCATCTGTGTCACTGTCCACCACCAGCAGCCTGACGCGGTTGGGTATCGCACGGACACGTTTCACCACCTGCAGAGAGAAGTGAGGAGTGACAGTGAGGAGCTTAAGGCTAAAATGATTATTGTGGTGTAATTTACTGTGTGTTGTTCACCTTGAACTGGCCTGTACATAACAGTCACCATGACAGACACCCACTGACCCATTTTAGTAGCCCACACTCTCTGTTTGAACCTCAGAAAGTTTATGTGCCTCTACTGGTGCTCTCTACCACACAAACACACATCTGAGATTTAAAAAAAAAATCATTGAGCCATCACTCACTTCATGATGACTGTCCTTCTCCACATTCACCCCGTTCACCTCCACCACCCGGTCTCCTGGTCGTAGCCCACCCAGGTCAGCTGAGGAGCCGGGGACCACTTTGCGGATGAACTCTCCTCCTATTTTCCGCCCACCCTGCAGGTGAAACCCATAATCACGCTCCTCTTTCACCAGATAACAGAGCCTGGGTCTCAGCTTACTCTCCATTCCAGCAAGATCCAAATGTCTTAGGAGAATAACCAAGTGCTTGTTCCAAGAAATGTGGAAACTGTATGGCACTTAATCTAACATACGGCTGTGCGCTTCAGTGGCCAAAAGATCGTTATCATTTAGGATAACAGGAGTGCATAAATAATTTACAACTGCTCAGAGAGCACAAACTACAAACTGGGCTCAAACTAATGAGTGTATAATTCAGCATGCCGCAAGAATGAACGTGCGAAAATGCGTAAAATCGTGGCTAAAAAAAACCCAACAACATAATAATAAAAATCAGAGACATGCGCTAAATACCGTTCACTGGAGGAATTATCCAAGAAATCCGAAATTAAAAACTGTTCCTCGAACTTATAACTTAAATCTCCTCGCCAGCTGGGCTCTTATCCTCCTGTCCGACCCGGTGCAAGATTGAGGAAGTGTCAAGAAGAGATGCCACTACTCCCACCTTTGCGCACGACAAGCTGTAGTAGTTCACGGTAGGATTTACTGCAGAGAGCCATGATTTGTTTATGGAATGAGTCAATGGACAGCCGAGATGCGCTTGAACTGATTCTGTGATTACCCAACACTTCTTGCTTCTCACAGCTCCTCTAGAGAGCCAGAAGCTTCCCCCAGGTGATGGACTGTGACCTGAGAACGGATGCTTGCATAAATGGGGATTTTATATTTCATGAAATATAAGCTGTCCTAGTGTTTGTAATGTGGTAACAGGCGTACACGCAGGCATCTATTTAGAAAGGAGTCGCTCGAGTAATTCAAGACAATCATGTCTAGGGGCATGTTTCAGATCAAGAAAGATGAGACATCCACGAGGCAAATGTTTGTGAAATTTTCTCAGTTTGTTTGCACTTCAGCTGGATCCTTTGCGTTTCAGTTAACCTGTGGTAGGATTCCTCAGCGCGGCAGCTCTGCCTTTGAGCAATTATCATGTCCAGACACAGAACATTAAATTATTGCCTCTGGCACTCAGCTGTGAAGCAGCCAACCTTCGCCTTCTTATAGTACATCAGTGCAAATAACTCTCAGTCAGCACTCTGTTGGCTAAGAACATCATTAGAAAAAAATGAATTAGAGATTCAATTAAAAATGAAAGCACAGTGCATAAACATTGCCTGACAGAATTATGTATTTATACTTTAAAGGGTTGTCACTCTCAAAGATTTGCTGTTGTTAATACTGAACAGTCCGTTTTAATATGAACTTTGAAAAGCAGTGGATTGTGTCCCCTATCACGTACATTGAAAGAGCAGAGCAGTCTGACCTGACTGTTGGCAGACCTGAAAAACTGATCTTGTCCTTTCTGCATTGTTGCCATGTAATATATCTGTAGAAAACTGCACCTGCACTTTACATTTTGTCAGGAGGTGAAATTATTTAAGTGTTAACCAAGAGGCTGGCTGTGTTTGAACCAAAACCATTGTTGCTGATGAGTGCAATTTGCTGTTCATCCTCCCTTTGAAAAGTGTATATCAGCCCGTTCTTCGAGTTAAAAGTGTTCGGCCAGTTCGTGTGACTCAATCATTCACAGTTTTGGACAAAATGCGATCTGATAGGTTACTTAGGAAATTTGATCAATACAGCCAGCTTTCATGAATAAAGAAAGATCTTAATGCCTTTTGGTATATTTGTAAGCTGTGTATTTCATTCATGCTGCTTCATCCATAGTACATTATAATCCCACAAATTACTTTGATGATACACATATATTTTCTTTTAGTTTGTTTTTTGGTACCCAACAGCCAAGCTCTCTCTTCTACATTCAAGATCAAAGATTTTTATTGTCCATTCACTATATGTGCAGGACATACAGAAGATCAAATACTGTTTCTCTCTCACCTAGTGTTGAATGTCATACCAGTTAGGAAACTAAAACAGAATAAAAGTAGAGTAAAAATAGACTAAAAAGAATAAGAAAACCAAATCAAAGTGATTAAGATAAAACTAAACGGTACAACCTAACAGGCTATGACTCAAACCATGTACAATCAGTGACAGTAGTGCAAATAATTCAATGCCAATGTTGAAACATGATCTTTAAATTAGTGTCATACATTTTTCATTTGATACTCACAATAAAAATACATAATTTCATGTGAAAAGTAAATGAACCATGTGACTCTGTGTCCAGCATCTAGTCACAGCTCCAAAACTCGTTTGATGACTAAATCAGTGGTTAACCTTGTTTTTTTTGCCTCCTCCTCTGTGTGGTGGGGAAAACAGCTGTGGGCAGTGACTCCGTCTTTGTCCGCTCATCTCTATCAACAGTTTCCTGTCCAGGTTCGGTTTTAACTTTAAAAGAAGGGCTTGGGCTCGGAGAGTGTGGGGAACCAACTGTAGGCTTCTTTGGAGGTGAGCTGTTGTGAGCAGATGGACAGCTGTGCTGGTTCAGACACACAGAGCACAGAGGGTTGATGGGTAGACAAACCTGCTGTCCAAAGCCCACCAGCAGCCAGTTAATCTCCCTCCACAGCTCCCTGCAACAGTGTCGAGGAACAAATCAAGGTGATTGAAACCTGCATTAACTGATTGTTAAATGAAATAAAAATGTTTACTGCCATATGTTTCAGATACAACATCTTTCTCTGGCCTTATTGAACAATGATCAATAAAACCTAGCTGTGCCTGGGAGTGGCTGAACTCGGCCTCTCAAAGCTTCTGTATTTATACCACTCTTTACAACTCCTCCCTATGTGCGAGAACATAACCTATTCCTTAGTGTTTTTTTAATCTGCAAAGAAACTGCCATAATTATCTGTGTCAAAAAGCTGGTGCTAGAAAGGCACCACCCAGTGTCAATACTGGGACCTGTTCCAGGTACTTTCCCCAAAACCTAATAGTGTGTGTTCCAACAGAGACAGCGAAGCCCAGTGCTGGAAACAGGAACAGCACCACCACACTCTGGAACGTCACTAGAATATTAAAAGACCACAGCCATTTTCCAAATGATAATGAGCATGACACATTGAGAAAACATTCCTGTATATGATTCAAACATGAATATATTCCTAATATGAGTTATACCATAGATTTTTTTAAATAAAAATTGAGATTTGTAATGTTTTTAACTTCCACAGGCTCCAAAAATGAGCCAACTGCCTCAAGCACAACCTGATAAGCTTCAAAAAGCTGACTTAAAGTCTCTTTCATTGTACAATTGCTTCATTTTTTTCTTTCCAGCAGACACTCAAAGCGTGTTTTGTCAGAACCCACTGAAACTAAACATTTTTCACAGTGGCCCTAATCCTCTTCTCCACCTGCCAGTATGCCTAGTGTTTATTTATTCCTGTGTTATAATATAAACCTTTCAACCCAAAGGCAGACACAGACCAGGTGATTTAAGTAAGGTGATTTAATGATAACGAATGGTACACAGGTAGGTAGAGAGCAGAAATAACTCTTGCAGGCAACAGGCTCAATGAGTAGGCTAAAAAAATGCACAGAACACAAAACTACAGAAACCCCAAATAAAGGAAGAAGCTAACTAATATTACAGCCAACTAACTCAGACCCGTTAGTTGAATAGAATTATAAATTAAAAACCAATGAAACAACTACTTCCAGAAAGTAGCCACTGATTAACAAAGGAACTTGAGGGCTAGAACAAACAGTAATATTAATGGGGGAAACAGTACAAGGATCAATAGAGGTAACTGGAGAGACAAAATAAGCAGGCGGCTGACCAAAATGTGTGTAAAAATAATCCAGATGAAGAGGATATGAAGGAGGCGTCCAGAACAAAGAGCAGGTGACAGAGAGGAGAAAGCATAGTGACGAGGTGAATGACGAGTCTTTAGACAGATGTATCTGCAGCCGTGAATGAGATGGTGACAAACCAGGATCTGGCTGAGGGGAATTGAATGTAAAGGCTGACAGGGAAGAGACAATAAACAACAAGTGTAAGTGATCATAGTTAATGAATAGCCAGAATAAAGCTGTGACATGTGAGACAGCATGAGACAGGAAATACTGTAAAAATAAAAGTACAGTATCTGGGGATAATGACACAGTGGGTTTGGATTATATCTAAGCAGGTGTTTGAAAGACAGGAAAAGCTGAAAACAAGACAGTAACTCCCACAGCTGCACTGTGATGGAGATTAGGTGACAAATCCTTTTGAAACTGCTGTAATTACATGATTTTTTATTCAATTTTATCCAGTTATTCACTATTTATTCTCTGTAGACATTCTTTTAAATGTGTATGCACTACAATGTCAATAATGTTTTTTATTTTTTTATTTTTTTAAATGTATTTCTTTTTTGGTTGAATCTGTTCAAATTGCTTGATTGATTGAGATGGTTATAATGGACACTGGTAGTACATAGTTGAATCTTAACATTTAATAATAAAGTCTATAGAGAAAAACTGAATAAAATAGATAAAAGGGGGTACGTCTAGAAAAGCTTTTTCTTCTTACTCCTTTTCAAACAAAGATTGTCTAATTAGAATAATCTACCTGAGCTTGAATGTGTTACTTATGTTTTGTTTTATTGGTTTTTATTTTTAGTTAATTATGTTCAAAATAAGGTGAATTTTTAAAAGTGTCACAAAAATACTCTTAGCACAGCATCACACTGACTCACAGTGGGAGCGACCAAATAATCAGTACATCCTCAGATTTGATACTTCCCCCTCCCTTAAATTCTAAAAGCCACTGTGTAGATAATCTAAGACAGCCTCAAACTGCTGATGTTTGAGTGTGCTTATAGTGCCAATGAGACCACAAAGAAGAGTCTTGTGTCTTGATGTCCACTCTTACCTATGTGTCAGTTGCTGAACTTGATGTTGAACATGTTGAGGATCTCTTGACCATGTCTTGTGTGATCATATGAGTGGACAAGCCTGCGGCAGTAGTGTGAAATGAGTGTAAGTGGTCGGGTTTGACGGACAGGGGTGAAATCTCTCTGACCAAGGAAGAAGTGGCAGGCATTGGCCTGGATGAGACGCGTGGGAGGAGGGTTCCCATCTCAACGGCCATGTCCTCAGTGCACACCAGGCCCCTGCTGCGGAGGTATTCATCTGTGTCACTGTCCACCACCAGCAGCCTGACGCGGTTGGGTATCGCACGGACACGTTTCACCACCTGCAGAGAGAAGTGAGGAGTGACAGTGAGGAGCTTAAGGCTAAAATGATTATTGTGGTGTAATTTACTGTTTGTTATTGACCCTGAACTGGCCTGCACATAACAGTCACCATGACAGACACCCACTGACCCATTCAATAGCCCCCCTATCCTCCCCACGGAAGGGAAAAAGTGGTCTGACAGGTATAGAACTCTGTTTGTACCTCAGAAAGTTTATATGCCTCTAATGGTGCTCTCTACCACACAAGCACACTTCTGAGATTTTTAAAAATGTATTTACTGAGCCATCACTCACTTCATGATGTCTGTCCTTCTCCACATTCACCCCGTTCACCTCCACCACCCGGTCTCCTGGTCGTATGCCACCCAGGTCAGCCGAGGAGCCAAGAACCACTTTGTAGATGAACTCTCCTCCTATTTTCCGCCCACCCTGCAGGTGAAACCCATAGTCACGCTTTCCTTTGACCAGATAACAGACCCTGGGTCTCAGGTTACTCTCCATTCCAGTGCGTGAACGTTAGGAAAACAGTTCCAAATGTCTCAGTGCTCAACCAAGTGCTCAAACTGAGTGGTTAATCGTCACAACGCAAGAATGAGCGCACAGTGCGTGTAAAATTGTGGCCAAAAAAAAAAAAAAAAAAACAATCTATAAATGCAGCTTTACTGGTGAAAGGATCCAAGAGATGAGAGATTAGAAAGCTATTCCTGTCATGTAACACTGAAAACTTCTCATCAGCTGGGCGTATGTCCTCCTGCCTGACTTGGTGAGAGAGCGGGGAGGCGTCAACAACAGATGCCACTACCTCCACCTCTGAGCACTGACGAGCTGTAGTAGCTAATAACATACATATTTAAATATTCTACAGCAGCATCAGTCCAGTAGTAATAGGCCTTTTAGTAGAAGCCAATCTGTGGTAACAAAATAAATACAAGTTAATTAAACAAGCATCATTATTGATGACTCTGTTCCATGTAAGTGTCCAAGTCAATCAGCAAAATAGCAGGTATCCTGGAGCAGGCACTCCAAACAGGATGCAGTTGTTATTCTTGTTAATTATACCTTTGCTTTTCAGGCTATAACAAACACACACACACACACACATTGCTCTATGAGGAAGTCTCATAACCAAAAATTACTAACTGGGTCGTTTGTGTTGGGCTCAAGAAAATAAAGTGTATAAGCATTGCCTGACAGAATTAAGTATTTATACTTTAAAGGGTTGTCACTCTCAAAGATTTGCTGTTGTTAATACTGAACAGTCCATTTTAATATAAACTTTGAAAAGCAGTGTATATCAGCCTGTTCCTCAAGTTAAAAGTGTTCGGCCAGTTCTTTTGACTCAATCATTCAGTTTGGGACTAAATGTGATCAGATAAGTTACTAATTTGATCAATAGAGCCAGCTTTCATGAATAAAGAAAGAGCTGAGATCTTAATGCCTTTTGGTATATTTGTAAGTTGTGCATTTCATTCATGCTGCTTCATCCATTGTAATTCCAGAAATGACTTTATTGTTGATGCACTGGAATATTGTTTTCTTTTAGTTTGTTATTCTTCCTTAGTATCCAACGGGCAAGCTCCCTCTTCTACATTCAAAGCCAGTGTTGAAACATGATCTTTAAATCAGTGTCATACATTTTTTATTTGAAAACAAAAAAACATAAGTAGTAACAGTACAAAAATATTTAATCTCATATGAAAAGTAAATGAACCATATTCACAATATTTAGCTTATCTGTTCAGTGTATTTGTGATTCTGGTCACAGCTCACAACAAAAACGTTTGATGACTAAATCAGTGGTTAACCTTGTTTTTTTGCCTCCTCCTCTGTGTGGTGGGGAAAACAGTTGTGGGCAGTGACTCCATCTTTGTCCGTTCATCTCTATCAACAGTTTCCTGTCCAGGTTCGGTTTTAACTTTAAAAGAAGGGCTTGGGCTCGGAGAGTGCGGGGAACCAACTGTAGGCTTCTTTGGAGGTGAGCTCTTGTGAGCAGATGGACAGCTGTGCTGGTTCAGACACACAGAGCACAGAGGGTTGATGGGTAGACAAACCTGCTGTCCAAAGCCCACCAGCAGCCAGTTAATCTCCCTCCACAGCTCCCTGCAACAGTGTCGAGGAACAAATCAAGGTGATTGAAACCTGCATTAACTGATTGTTAAATGAAATAAAAATGTCTACTCCTGTATGTTTCAGATACAAATTGGCCTTGTACCCTTTTTACATTTTAATAGCATGAGGCCATTGCTGGTAGAGACAGACTTAGGTATAGCTGAAAATCATTTTACAGATCATGGATTTCTCACACCCCTAGTAACTGATGTCTTTACTGCTCCTCTTGTCTGTTCTACGATTTTTCACATCTTCTACATTTTCAAGTCCTTGAACAAATTCTACAACTATTAAAATGCCTCAAAGAGAGAAAAGAGCTAATAAATCAGAAGCGAATGAGGATGTTGAAGCAGAAGAGGATTATATTTCAGCGGCGCAAGTAACAGAGATGTTGAGTCAGCAGAAACAGATGTACATCGCGCTGATGAACCAACAGCAGGAAAACTTCAAAGGCTTCGTGCAACTACTTATGGAGACAAACAACAAGAGACTCGACGACATGACCAGAGAAATACAGGAGATAAAAACGAGTTTGCAGTTTACCCAGCGAGAGGTGGATGTGATTAAAGCTGCCATGGGTGAACAGAAAATACAAACCAAGGA